TTTCTGATTTGTAATTTTTTTCAGAAATTTGTCGAAATGGCTTCAAATCCAATTACAACTATGGCACAAGTTGCTCTTACTTCACAACAACCATTTTTGAAAGTTTCTATAGATGATATTTTATTTAAAGGATACGAAGATCCATACCTTGCAAATGTTAGCTTTTATTATCCTTAATTTTTACTATCCCTTAAACAGATATATAATTTTTAAACTATCATTTTCATGAATGCTGTTTACTGAAGCAACTTATATTGCACCAAAATTTACATACTTTATTTATATATATGTAAATTTCTTATTAAGGTATGTGCAATACCATTTGTGGACATACTTTGTAAATCAATTTTGAATGTACCAAAGAGAATTGGTTTCCTGATGCATGTAAGTAATTAAATGATTTTTGTAATTTCAATGAACTTAAAATACCAAAATAGAAATTAATGTGGCGAGATTATTATTAATTATTGTCTAGATTATTTATTATTTATTTTTACTTTTATCCAACTATTTTGATATTTTTGAGTACTAATCCTTTATAATCGGAGAAAAATATTCCAAAAAGTTGCATAAAGTTGAAAGAAAATTATTTCTAAATTTGCATAAAGATGACAAAAAGGAAATAATCAGTGTTGTAATTGTTAAAGGTTTATCCAGGAAATCCCTCATCTCGTGATACATTATGAATACTTTTAATTAAATGATAAAAAATAAATCATCGATTTTTTATTTTGATCGGTCAACATCATGTAAAAAATGGTTGAATAAAAAAATGACCGGAAATGATGGATGAATAGAAAAATGACCGGAAATGATGGATGAATAGAAAAATGACCGGAAATGATGGATGAATAGAAAAATGACCGGAAATGTAATCGATAGATTGTAAAAGAAATGAAATCATTTTAAGATAAATAAATTTATGATTAATAGAATTGTTTCTATCAAAATGATTATGTTTGAGCTCATTTTTTTTGTTAAGAATCTACCATACATTATTACTGATAGCCTTACTTTCCAAGTTCATGTGAAATAATGCTATCAGGTTTACTGATTCAAATTTGATTGATTCTCTTAATCAGCTTTTATCCGAGAGATAAAGCTAGGTTATTTGTAATTAAATTAAATTGCTGAAGAAATAAGTTAAATTTTAGAGGAATGGTGCTCAAAAAGTTATTGAAATAACCACCGGTAACAATAATGGTAGTGTAGTAGCTGGTGAAATACTGAACTGGGATGGCCTCAAATTATTACCTGCAAATTGGTGGACTAGTAAACAAGCTAGGTAAGCTACTTTTTTTTTTTCTTTACAAAATTTAAGGAATTTTTTCTTTTTTCTGATAACTTTACAACGAATGCAACATTGAACGTTTCATTAATTACATTAATTAAAATGTATGATTAATGTTGATTGAGAGGGGAGCCAGGTTATGGTTCCTATAAAAGTTTCATTTAATATACAATGATTAAATTTTCAGGGAAATTAATGGGACAGATGGTGAAATTTACAAACCATTTATCAAAAAAACTGATATAATTTACGTGTTTGCACCGGATCTTTGCAGGTGTACTAATGCTATCGCTAATTAGATAATTAATTTTTTTTTTACTAATTTTATATAACAGGACAAAGAACAGAATAGGTTAGAATGTGAAGAACTACTGTTTATATAGATTAAAAAAAAGAAAAAAATGAAAAGTAAAAAATAAAAAACACAAATAAGATTGGAGCAGTTTTTAAATTTATGCAAATTTTTGAGACAAAATATAACTTATTGATTATTTCATTTTATATTTGAATTCGATATTTTAATATATTATGAAAAACAAAAAGTAAAATTACATCCTGAATTGTAATTTAACAAATTTATATGGTAGTTAGTAAAATTAAAACTTTAAAATTAACTAAATGATTAGTTAATATTTATTTTAGATCAATACATTTAACATTTGCGAAAGAAATCGAATACAAAAATATACCAGCATATCGTTTTACTGTAAAAGAAGATTTATTGGATTCAACAATGCCTGGTAATGAAGGATTTTGTCACAATAATGGGAAGATATTTTTTTCCGAAGATGAAAAATGTTTTCCTAAAGGATTTTTGGATCTTAGTCATTGCTACAATGGTATGATTTAAATCAATATATAAATTTAAAAGAAAATATTGTAAACTCCCATTCTTCGATCAATTTGGAATAAAATGAAAATGAAATAAATGAATATTTTATGGTTAAAATATGAGCTAATAGCAAATGTTGACAGATTAAATTCCCAAATTTTAATTTTTGATGATAATTCATGATTAAAAGATTCTTGATTTTATCAATATTTTCAGGTACACCACCCATTCTATTTTCATTTCCTAATTTTCTATATGCTGATAGGAGTGTTAAAGAATCAATTATTGGTCTCAATAAAAGCTCAGTGGAACATGATGCTATCATCATTGAAATTGAACCGGTCAGTACTGATTATCTGATTTATTTTTTTTAGTTATTACTGAAAGTAATTTATACAAGTTATATCAGTTACCTTAGTTTTTTTTTTTTTTTGTAGAGAAAGAGAGAGAGAGAGAGAAAACTTAATGGATGACAAAATTTTACTTATACTATTGATAATTAAATTTTACGAACAATTTTTACTCGCAGTATTAATATTTAAAAATTTTAGAAAACAGGAACACTTCTTCGAACTTACATACGATCTCAGATTAACATTGTTATGTGGAAAGGTCGAGGAATCATTTATGGGTTCGCTACATAAAAATATTTCCTTACATTCGAAATTATTTTTTTTTCGCACGTGTATATCTATCTCACGTACGTCAGGATAGATATATTGATTGGAATACTAATTCTTTAAAAACAAATCATTATTATTCAAAATTTTGATTTTAAGAATATAGCACGTAATTCCTGCAGGAATTTTTATTACTCATTTACACCTATGCTTATAAGTTTTACTGCAGGATTAACAAATCGTAGTGCAATATTTACAACATTTGAAATTTGAACCCACCCACCTATACAAAATAACTGTGACAGGTCATGCATTCGTAATTGATAGTGAAATTGTTAGGAGTTGGTAAAATATCCCTTAGAAATTTAGAAAATTTCAGGGCTTAGAAATAAAAATATAATTGGACTTAGCCTGAAATACACTAAGAGTTATACAATAATAGCAAATAATCAGAGATATCATCATCGAATTATTCTTAAAAGTTTGTTCTTTAATTTATATCATTACAATGATAATTTACCTTAAATGTTATTTTAGTACGGATTTATCAAAGATGCGAAATATGATAGTACCATTATTCGCAGAATATCAAATAGTGGAAATTGGAAATGATTCATTAGCACTTCTGCGGAAAATGCTTTTACTTATAAAAAGAGCATTTGCATTTCTCTGTTTTATTCCCATCACTACTGGTATTCTGTTCATTTTTATTGCTATCTTCATCGAATTACTCTTAAAAGTTTGTTTTTTTTTTCCTCATATCATTATATTTGTTGGAAAAATTAATTTTAAACCGAAAAATTAAACGTTAATTTTTTAATTAATATTAAAAAAAAATACGACAATATAGAAGATTGATGATGAACAGAATAGAAGAAATTTGTTAAGAATAAGAAAAATATGGATATTAGGAGGATTAATGATTTGTCATTAATTAATACAGTAATCATATCAAATGACAAGACATTGTTATTGATGGAAAAATAGAAGAAAAGAATTTATAGAATTTATATCTTAACAAAGTTTATCAATATCTATTGCTTGTAAAATATGTCAACTGTTTCAACACTTTACATATAGCTGAAAATCTAAAGAAAAAAAAAGAAAAAACTTTTTTCCGTTCCCAGTCATAAATTTTGATGTTTAATTTAGACAACATTGATCAATAAATTGATGGGCAACTACTCGAACAAGGTGACAGTGCAAGTGCAACCACTATCCTGACAATTGGAAGAATGTATTATTTAGATTGACACAATCCATAGATTTAATTATATTCACTAATTTAGGCAACGGGTAAAAAAGTGTCCCTTTGTCATTTACTTTTTTATGTCTACAATTCGAAGCCTAAAGGCATGCGAAGGACCTTTTTTTTTATGAGACATTTTAATACTATTCTATGGTTATACGAGAAATTACATTTCTCCTTTCATCTTGTTCAACTGATAAAGAAATATTATGGCTTATTGGTACAGCTGTAATGAATTAGCCATCATATTGCTTAAACAGTATAACCTTATCTTGACAGTTTTACCATCGATATAGTTAGAATTCAAGTTAATAATTAAAGTCCAGAATTAGTAGTTATAAGCTTGACCCATTATCTCTATTCAAATTTTGTTATATTTGATTTAATTTTATAGTTTTTCAATCCCATCAAAAATCTTATGATAAAGTTCCCAGAAATACCAGCTATGAGCATTTACCGTAACGGGTATAATAAAATTAATTGCTTCAACATGCAAGGAAATGAATCTAAAATCTTGAACCTTTAAGATACCCTTCAATTTAAAAAAGAATCCAATTACTGTTGAGGTGGTGCTTTAATTCAAGCACATCCTCACACTATCATCAATTTGCAGATCAAAGTGTTAATTTTAGAATGAAACGGATAAGAATATCACGCACATATTTTCAGTGATGGAAAAAGTGTATTAGCTGAATTATCGTGGCCTAATGCGTTGTTTGCAATTTTTTTAAAAAATGATTTGGAAATTTTTGAAATGAATGATTCCCGATGGAACAGTTTTCCGATTATTAAAGATTCTATTGAACAAGTACAAAATTAAAGATTTATAACCTCAAAGGAGGTACTGATTCTGGCAAACATTTGAAAAACTAACTTCAACAGCATTCACTATAAATTAAACATGGTACTCTTTGTGTTCAATTTCGACTTTTGCAACTTCGATGGATATATAAAGTCTATGAAATTTTGCAGCTTGAAGTACGAATATTCTTTCATGATCATTCTGAAAGTCTCAACGCGATGTAAAAGTGATAAAGTTAATACTTGCCGAAAAAACATCATTACATTTTTAGCAGTGAAGACAACAAAACAACGATTTGAAAATGACAGTCGATGCTACTAAAAGTGATACAAAGCCGAATCATGTTATCCAATACTTATTTCAAATACTTCTCATTAAATTACCCCAAAGAAGCATTTTGCTGACGGACAATACATTTCATCAGTCTATTTACAGATGTGTGGAGAATCAATTCGAGAAGGCTGGGAAGTTTCTTGATTTTTTTGTAAGCTGGGAAGTCCCCTGATTTCAATATATTACTTACTCTACGTATGTTAGGATTTTACAATTGTGATTCACCCGTAAAATTACACCAGTATATTAAAATGCAAAATAAGATAAGTATCCCAACTCTTGCATAGTTGACAATATTCTTGTCTCTTTTCACCTTATGCTTTGAAAAAAAACGGATAGAAGTGTTAGGCTGAATTCTGTATGGATGATGCCTGAGACTGAGATGTAGTAACATCCTTTTCACAGTCATCATCATGGTCTTCGATATCTGCATTATCGTCATCAATAAAGTCAAGCACTCGAGAAGATTGTGAAGCGTTCAGCAAAATGGACGATGGTGCTGAAAGAGATCCAAATAGTTCCGCTTCTTCAATCATTATCTGTTCGGCTAAATGCTTCAATTCTTCCGATGGATACATATTGAGGATTTCATCTATTTCGGCCGATAATTCACCTGTTTCCCTGCAATGCGAGAATATTTCGCTAAAATTTAATCTCACTTGCAAAACATGAAATTTTTAAATTTCAAATATTGCCGCAGTTGCAAAAGAAATTGAGAAATTCTAATACTACCTCTTCACACGTATTTCAAGCTCATTTATGCGTCCCTTCAAATTCTTTTGCTTCTCTAGCAATTGCCGTACCAGTACCAAAGAATTTTCCATAGTCCGGATCGACTGAAGAAAATTATCCATGTAATATAATTATCCAAACAGATTAGAGAGATTACTGTTGTTAATAATACTGTCAAAATTTTCAAATTTTGATCAGTACAAACGAATCTGAGGGAAGAGATATTAGTTAAATGTACAACTTATCGTCAAATATGAAAGAGTGTAGTACCTGGTTACACCCCATATTCATTGCATTTAGAGGAGGTACTTCACGTCCTGAAGTGTACGCCTCAAATTCTTGTTTTGGCATTTTTAAGCTTTCGGCATTCATATTTTGCACAAACTGTAGCGCGCAACTCACATTCGTAAAATAATAACCTAAAGAGCAAAAATCACAAACACATAATAGCGGGAAACTATTGAATTACAACAAATTTCATCACTTACGACCTTACAATTCCACAAAACCAATTTTATCCGATAACAATCTAATATGCACCTCTTGCAGTAAATCAGTGTGTAAAATACGAGAAATCTCGATGCAATTCCACAACTTATAACAAAGTTAAAAAAGAAAATCAGGAAACCTGACTCGCCGCTCAAAACTCTGACAGGTAGAGCAAATCGACTGACAAATTTGACGTTTGACTGAATAAGTGGTGGATTTCCTTTCAGAATCACAAAAATCAGTACCGGTAAATATTCATCGGCACCAGCCGGAGCGCCTGCAAGTAAGAAATCTATAAACTTGGGGAAGAAATGAGCTGCACATGAATCTGAGTTATGCGAAGGAAGACAGTACCGACAAAAGTTTTAAAAGGGAGATATATTTAATAATCGGTCCCGTAAAAATTGGAGATCTCGATTTGTTCTGCTATTAATGAGGTCTCAATTCTTCTCTCGTGATTTCTCTACTAAATATTTTAGCAGTGATGTCGACATCTAAAAATACACAACAGCGTAATTGCTACCGATAATTAAAGCAATTGCAGTGTTACAAAAAGAGGAAAAAAAAACATTAAAACAAGTTTAGAGTATTGATCAACATCATCATACCTGAGCGGCTTTCCTTTAGCGCCTCAAAGATCATTTTTGAACAACGAACCAAACATTGCAACTTTTCCGCTGCTCCTCGACGGCTATTCATATCAATAATCTCAGTTATTGCTTCATCCAATTTGTCACGAACCTACCAATTAAAGCCTTCAAACGATAGTCTTTTATCAATGAATAATGAAGTTGTCAAGTGAAATGATGTAATTTACCGATTCTTGACTAAAGTCAAGAGTGGTTTCCAGAAAACCTGCTGTAACCCAATTCAAGGACCGTATTCTATCTTGCAATGATAGATCTGCACTTTCTTCGTCAGCTCTAGAAAACATTCCAATTTAGACAATTAAAAGTTTAAACAAGATTATGGGAGAAAGACCTAAAAATTCTAAGTGATGCAGTAAACAAATTATCCTAACGCTCCTCAAAGATTTTAAGAATGAGAAAAATTTTCAAATATCTTCAGAAAAAACATAAGGACATGCCTGGCGCAGAATAATGTGCTATAAGCCCGTACACATATATACTGCTCTACTTCTGCCATTACCTCTTCAACACTTACACTAACCACTGAATCTAAAATCTAATAGTATATTAATATCTGAATTGCTTAATAAAGGGTGTGGCAGTTTATGATACCCATCTATGTTTCACGTTAATATTTCCAAAATTAACTGGTTTGTAATAACAACAAAACATTCACCATTCATAATGGGGCTGTGACGCATTTTATCTGCAAGCACTTGATAAAAATGCTGTACCATGCTTGACAGATCGTCCATATTAACGTTCTGTTGCTGGAATTCAAATAAGTTACTCAATTTCAAACAAATATCAACTTAACTAACGCAACTCTAAGGGATTACGATGGAAATTAGATCGTAAGATTATGGCATAAACGAAAAAACTCTTCAAATTCTGTCATTTCAGAAATTTTATTTTGAATAATTGAAGAAGTATTCCTGTTAAGTATTCCCCGTATCCATAATTAAAGTAAGGAATAGCAGCATGTGGAACTAACTTCCAGAATCTTATCAACAGCATGATGTGTTTGCTGAGCTATCTCATGAGCGGCTGCTTGGGGAAGATTATTTTGGAGAAACTCGTGAAAATGATCATAAGCAGAAATGCTTCCTTCACTAAGACGATGCCTGGAAGTTGATTACTACTACATATTTCTCATAAATTAGAGCAGTAGTAAAGGTCAATTATTTCTTCAGTAATATGTAAAAAGAAACCATGGAAATTTCGAATTTTATTATCTTCCGAATTAATAAAGTTCTTATGTTATTACGCAGTTTTTTGGTATGCAACGAGAAAAGACTACTGAAGAAAAGACATACTTTTCAAACTTAAATTCATGCTTTGAAATAAAATAAGCGAAATTTAGGAAAATAAGAAAACATGGCCAAAATGAAGAAAAGGATCCAAATAAATACAATGTCACTATTGAAGAAAAGAGTTTTGAAATACCTCAATGGTGTAACAGGAGATGTTAGTGCAGACTGTGACGGAGCTGCCGTACATACTATTTCTGAAATAAAATATAAATATCCTATTAAAAAAACGTGCTTGCAAAAACAAAGAAATGATGAATATAACACGTAAGAAATAACAAACCTTGAGAGGGATTTGAATTAGCACTTATTGATGGTGATTTTCGAAGAATCGACTTTAACGTAAGTGAACGACTTTCTGTTGATGGTCTTCGACGTCCTTCGAATTTCTCGAAACTTATAAGTTCTCTATAAACAGGAAATGAAAAAATGTAGACTAAACTTGCACAAAGCTCAATAAAAGAAAAATTTTCTGGAAATTTCCAGTTTAACCTTTTGCAAGCACAAGATATTCAAAATTTCTTCTTACCAAATTTAATAGCTTTGCGTAATAATATGTTAAAATATGAAAAATAATACTCCTTTGAAACCTTGCCCATTATGAAAAGTCCGTTAGGACAGTAAGAGAAGCCAATTAAAATAAGAGTAAATCAGAGAAGCACTGAAGAATTTAAAGAACAAAAGAATACACTAAGCAGCATCGGCGTTTACTAGTAAATGTTTTCATTGCTAAAATTTAATGCTATTATGTCAAAGCAAACGAAAGGATTTCCCCTTATTTTATCAAAAATGTTCCATTGTGACCAATATTTATTGCCCCATATATTCTTCCGAGTTCTTTTTTCTTTTTTTTTTAACATATACAATATGAATATTCCTTTTACTTATGCTCACGTTTGTATAATTTTGAGTTACTACGAAAAAAGTGCTAGAAAAACAATCTATAATTTTTTCTTGAAAAGAAAAAAAATTTAATATAAACCTGTTTTTCGTATAACACTGTGTTTTCTTTTCCTCCATTTGATAAGCTCTCCAGCACTTCGAACATCTTCCTTTCCACTGCGGTGTACCATAGAAACCACAACGATTGACACAAAGCTGCAAAAATTGATTGCCATTTTTTGCACATTTTGTCAAAACCTAGTCAAATTCTTTGTACCAGAAAAATATTTTTCTTCCCATCCATTATCTAATTTTCAGTCACCAAAATATAATAGAATCAACTTAATTTGTCTGAAACCTAGAAGATAAGTCTAGGATGCTGTACATTATGTATTAACATATACCACTCTAACTAAGCCCCTGAGATTTCCACTATAACTAAGCTCCTGAGATTCCCAATAATTTACGTTTTTGTAGTTAAGATCAAGGAAATAAAAGAAGCTCTGAATTAGAAATCATAAAACCATACCAGATCTCCTTCCGTAATTTGTACTCTCAATCGTTTATCAGATGAGGAAGACTTTAGCAGTTTTTCAGTTCCACTCTCTATTTCAGTGTTATTCATCTTAAAATCGATAAATTTCACAACCTGAATGGTAATACTGATACCGATTTATGGAATATTTTGAGAGAATTATCGAGAAATACGCATATATACAGTAAATTAAGAAAAAAAAACTAAGAAAAAAAAAATTAACAACAAAAAATGTTAGAATCATAAATAACAATTCTGGTTTGCTTGAATAGACAACAAAATTCATCAATGATCAATCGATATTTAATAATATACTGCAATTAGAACTAATACTTATATAACAAAGAAAATTCTCGCAAAGATAATTTTATTATTTGCACTCCAATAAATTAATTACACATAAAGCAGTAATTGTTAACTTATAACGGTATAGCATATCTACCAGATGGGTAGATCTGAAATGATTGCAATTATCAGTAATAATTGCTTGCTTATCAGTACTCTTAATCAAAAGTTATATTCGTGAGAAGGATGAATGTGACCCAAAAATCCAATTTTGATTTGATTTTTCACTTCTCAAAATGAATCAAATACTCGAATACAACATAAATATCTGAATAGCTTACGTAAAAACACCTTCTAGTATAACGTATAGATAATAAAACTGACGTAGTAAAATGTTAGCTATAAATGAGATAAACAAAAATGAAGGAAGTATTGTAATGCGAAGGATCGCACGGATGAAAACGCCGCTAGCTTCTTTTAATCAATGATTCAAACGATCTTAAAACATTCCTTCATCTTCATACAGTTTTTCGGCGTTTTATTGTATCGTCCTGATTTAAAATACTTTTCAAGATATGTAAATTTTCGATTTTCAAAATAACCTTAGAAATGACATTTTTGGCTTTTTTTTTAATCAATAACAATCCATTTGCACAAGTATAGTTCCAAAAATTGAATAGTTGAACAAATAAACAAAACATAACAATGATAAGTGAAATTTGCAAGCAATGATAAGAAATCAATTTCTCAATCATGATAAAATGCATGATGAAGAAAGTAGAAATTGCATTTCAATAAAACTAAAATCAAATAAACTCATCAATTGAATAACTAAATAAAACAAACACTATGATCGCAACTTAACCATTCTATTGATCAGTAAACAATACAAACAGCAATACCGGAAATTAAATTTCTTTCGAAACTGGAAAAAAATTGCAAAAAACTCATGTCTTCCAATTTCAGGATTTAATAACTTGAAGAACCTAACTGAAAGGCTAATATTATTCGAAGAAGTTAAATAAAAAAAAAACGCCACAAATTTACACCGACTGAAATATTATAGGAATCGAAGCAGTTTGGTTGATGACTACGAATGAAATAACAGTAGAAATTATAACAAGCAATGATAACATAAAAATAAGTAAATATTTAATTAAAATGACTTGAGAAAATCAAACATCTAGAAGCGCAACAACATGACAATTATCACCATTATCTCCTGATTTCATTGGTTTTTTCATTTTTCGCTTCTCTTCTGGACAGAACGGATTTTGCTTCTCATAAAATTCTTTCAATAATTTTACAGCTCGATCAACACTAAGATTTGGTAAAATTTCGATGAAATGCTCCGCTCCATATTTCTCCCTTGTTCCAACACTAAGTAAACCACCGAAACGTTCATTCGCTGCACCATACAAGATCTTTTTCAAGCGCAAATGATACAGTGCTGATGCACACATAATACACGGTTCAAGTGTAACATATAGAGTCGAGCGCCGCATTACGTCCTCCAACTCATGTCCGTTATCCATGCACCATTGTTTCATCATTTCAAGAGCAACCATTTCTGCATGATACGTGGGGTTTTTCGTACGATTTACGTCATTCCGTCCAAATGCCACTTCCTGACCTTCGAAAACAAAAACACAACCCACAGGAACCTCATTATTAAGAACCGCATCTACAGCTATTTCAAAGGCTCGATTTAGAAAATGGACTTCGTCCTCGTTTAGTTCCTGCTTTAGTGACATCCATGCGACATCCACAGCACTTCGCGACAAATAAACCATGGAGAAGCTGAATGACTCCGGCCAAACATTGATCTCATAACAATTATTTCATCATTTTTGACTTCTGCTGAAAGACACGAGTACACAAAAGCTAATGATTCCAAGTTGTAAAAGGAAACAAAAGCGAACAACAAAGGAATTTAATTTGAGCTATTTCGTTTATATATTTGCATTGAACTGCAAATTAATTCTAGTCAAATACATTTCTGCTTAGCAATACAACTAAATGTTAGATTCCTTCCCAAATTGCCTTTCAAAAATTTAAATTACAATGGTAAAAAAGAGAAATATGAGTAAAGGATTCCCCTGGATACGTGATACCTGCAAAATCAGAGAATTTATTTAGCATCACAATATCAAGCATGACATAAACTTAAACTCTTACACTACCATGGATAATGAAATTCTAAAATAATACCTTTCCTCCCTCACTACATTGCTCTGCATTTCTTACTTTGTTAATCAACTAGAAATCAACTGTCAAGAAAAACAGAATGTAAACAAAGTTAATTAATAATTACTGTGAAAAACACTTTTATTAATAAAACACGGTACGATGGTGTGATCAATATGAATGATCGTATTACGATATTGAACCGATAAGGAAGAAATAGAAATACCAGTTTTATTAATGGTTGATAGTTAACACTACATAAACATAATAGATAAGTGCTAAACACAGCTACTGATACAATAGTAAGAAGTCAACCTCGTAATAGTTGCTGTTTCTAAAGAGCTCGTTTGGAAAGCTGAATGAAATTTTAGTACTTACAAAAACAAAAAATCTATGGAAATGGTACGGATACATGAGATAATTCCGACATTACTGCACTAAGATTCTACAATAATTGAAAAGTTTCATATATTATATATTTCTTACACAGTTCTAAAAAAATGTACCGTCATCAAACAAATAAAATACCAGCATTTTGTGAAATTCGAAAAAAAAACCTACGAAATAAGTAGCGATTACTTCACTTATTTATTATTATACGCCGGCAATCCCACACTTTCCGGCTTGAAATCTTCCAAACTTCTAAGTATCAAATTTATTTTGTTTTGCAACTCATCTGGAATCTTCATGTAAGTTAAATCTGGCACCATAACAACGTGCATGCCAGCTGCTATTGCAGCATATACTCCATTAGTTGCATCTTCGAAAACGAGGACATTTTCAGCTTTCTCAGGTTTCTCATTGAACCTACTCATTGTTACCAGAAAAGGGTCTGGAGCTGGCTTTCCTCGTTTGACGGCAGGATCATCACCCGATAGAATCTGAAAAGGAAAAAAATGAATAAAATCATTTCTTCCTCCTCTATTGACTATCTGAGAATTTAAGCAGTGAAACTTAGATGCCGACTGTTCTCTGATCTGAAAATGTTTACTCTCAAAGTAAACCTAGTGTTACATGAAAAGCACAATTCTAGCTCTACTTTTTGCCAAAAGAAAGTAGACTGTGTTCAGGATTCAATTTGTAAATATGCGATTGATATAATTGGTGTTCAGTTTTATTGGTCACACTTTTTAGCAGTGCTTCCTTCTTTGTCGTCGATGGTAAAGAATAAAGTTTTGAATTTCCAGCCATGTATACCATAAGGTACTACGAAAAAATAAAAAAAAAAAGAAAAAAAAACCTCAACTCACATTACCCACCATTAAATGCAAAAAAGCATACCCTCAAAGATATCAAATCAAGTAGTTCCTTATGATATTGAGTTTTAAGCTCAAATTCCTTTCTGGTCGAACCAGTACATATAGCCATAGGTATATTCTGAGCTTTTAAGTGCCGTATAAGTTTCAACACACCAGGCATCAGAGAACATTTTGGTAACATTTCTTCAGCCATTTCATCGTATTTTTTACAGTATTCGTCTACGTCAATTTTTCCAGATAGTTTTTCCTAGAAATGAGGTTAATTAGAAGGTGTATGCAAAGACTTTTAAGCTAACGATTCCTCGCAGAACTACCTCGTACCTCATTAAATAATCAGTAATTAAAGCTACTTGAAAATTTAATCCAAGTTTTTCTTTTTTTGCACAATGATAGCTACCTGATTTTGGGCAGGAATCTGCGATTTCTGAAGAGTAATGTCGAAGGTAATGCAGATAAAACATCAAAACTGCTCTAATAATTTCAACAACGTGGCATCTTACGGATCTCCTGGACAATTAAGTTACTTTAAATTTTACAGCACGGCAAATGAAGTTCTTAACATGAAATTAAAATGGAAACACGAGAACTACGTAATCATTCGAAGATGGATAAGAAAGCTGAGGCGAAGCAACTTTCCAGTATTATAGAAGCGTCACTTGCTGCATAAAATGTTGCGAACTCTTGGGAATATTGCTCTTGAAAAATTTGTTGCAATAACTAGAGGATAAAAAACAAACATGTTCCAGTATGCGTGTCACAGCGGCTTTCTTCGGCATTCCCGTCACCAAACCTCGCAAATGCGAAGTGAATTCCTTACCATACTTCGACAACAAACACTGATTTACTTTCGAGAATACTACTTCAGTATCGATCAATAAGCCATCCAAATCAAAAATTACGTGTGTTATCTTCAGCACTGATTTCATGACAGTCTATCTGAAACAGAAAGTGATGAAAATGAAGCGTATTTACTCAATTTACAGCTCTGCTCTATATTTCATCTTCACATTCTTCATATATTCAGCAACCCACCAAACCCAGTTTTGAAACACTGCATGAAAATAGAAATTTTTGTCGTTTTATATATTTATTTTCACTCAGAAATTCAAAATTTTGAGACTTCCAATCTCTGTCTGATTTGAAACAAGAAAACACTGAGAAGTCGCGCCTACTAAATTGAACTTCGTATACTATACAAATGGAGGATTTGAAATATTGAACCAGAAACCATACACAACATTAATATCCTTCTATTTTGAATAAATACTTACATTAAAATGCAAACACGAATACCAATCTTCTAATAATTATTGATTAAAAATGAATTATCCTAAGCCTGTAAATAAACTGCTGAAATAATGCCAGACGATATTCAATTTGTATTCAAAATCTGAATTATCTCCGAAAGCATCACTTTATCAGAACAACAGTGATGTGATGTAAAGCAATACATAATTTGTCGAAATAGATGAGCCGAAATAGATAAGCGTAAAATTCTACAAAATATGGATATCGACAGCATTCACTCCATTTATCTAAATTTTTAAAAACTAATAATGTTTGCAATGACAGGAAGATAGATATACTGCACTCGAAATGCCAGCGCTAGCCATGGCTGCACCAGAAAGTGTAAAATGCTTAGCTCTCTTCAAAGATAATACTGACTTGCACTTTCACGCTAAACTTAAAATACGTATAGTGAGAGAGAGATAGAGAGATATTAACAGGCTAAACATCCTCTATCCATCCTCTTATTCTTAGTTTTCACTGTTTCAGCACATGCTAACGCATCGTTTAGACACAAGTACATTTTACAATGAAGTTGTTACGTTTCGAAATTAATTGCTTTTTAAAGTCAGAAATGTCCTACAATCGAATAACGTACTACAATCGAATAATGAAAAATATTTCTTTGCTTTTCTCCTGATTTCATTTCTCGCAAAAAGAATTTTCTTTTTAAACCAAATTCTTAATATATATGAACTTTTCGCAGAAATCCTGAATTTAGTATTTTGTAAGTTTCCACAATGAGAACATATTTATAATTGTATTGTTAAATGAAATATACTCTATGGCCATACCCATAGGATTACATATCATAGGATCCCACAGGATTACACACTCCACATTCATATAAGAAACGAGTATGGAGACTGTCAATCAATCTGCAACCATTTTTAATATTCCACTTGTGCTTAGAATGATTACACCAGCGCACACACAAATTTTTTAGAATTGCAGATATTGAGATATGCTGAGATAAAATTGAGAAAGTATTATGCTCAAGCTGTTAAGAAATAAGAAGTTTTATTCTTAAAATTTTCGTAACTGAACAATTTGACGAATTCTAATGGCTTTGACTAATTTAAATATTTAACAAATATGCGCAAGTATAATATGGAAAATCTTCAATTTTTGAAGTAAATAAAGAATGATTAAGCAACGTGACTTACGCGAAATCCATTTCCTTAGTGATGTTCAGCACCCATCGTTACGAGCAAGAAAAGGACTTTCCTAAAGTCTACAGCGCACTAAGATATGGGTAACAACACCTCCAATTATGATATCCTTTGTCAGTACGGCTGACGCATCACAAAAGAACTACAAATGCTCAATTCAATCATATGGAGGTAAGCCAAATATTTCTGGTTTAAATTCCTCCAAACTATTCAATATCAGTGTTACTTTATCCTTACATTTCTCAGGACTTGAATAACGCAAATCTGGTACCATCACAACATGCATCCCAGCCGCTAACGCAGCATAAACACCATTTACCGAATCTTCAAACACCAAAACATGCGCGGCACTTTCCGGTTTTACTGAAAATCGCCGCATTGTCTCCAAAAACCCATCTGGTTCCGGCTTTCCCTTTTTAATATGAGGATCATCACCAGCCAGAACCTGTATAAGCATACGAATGTTTGCTACAATGACATGACATATCCTCTGGGGAGTATAAATTTATTAAAATTTTTAGCAAAAGTTATTTCGAAGCTGATTTTGCGGTGGGGAAAAATCCTTGAAACAATTACATAAAGTGGAATGAGATCGCACAATTCCTTTTGATTTTTCATTTTTGCATTGAATTCAAATGTATTGGATCCAGTACATATTGCTGTTGGAATTTTATGTTTAGCGAAATGCTTCACTAGCTGCATAGCGCCAGGCAATAATTGACTTTCAGGAAGATATTTACCCAGCAAGTCTAAATATTTCGCACTGTACTCCTCCAAATTTACTGTACCAATCAAGTGTTCCTGAAAGCCGCAATTTGATACACAAAAAAAGAAACTAGATCTTTTTTTGTTCCTATTACTTTTACTTTTGCAGTGAACATCAATAAGACGAGGATAAGAAAATGTGATGCAGTTTTGAATAAAGAATGCAAGATAAATTTCAAAGTGTTAAATTAGATTTCGGATAATCACAACTTAAATCAGCGATAAAAATAGCAAATAAAGACATACATGTTTAAGCATCATTTTAATTGCATCATTCATTTTCATACCAGCTGTCTTCTTTTTTAATTCCATCGTGAACTCTCTACCATAGCTTTTCATCAATTCTGTATTAACTTGGGTATAAATTGTCTCTGAATCAAGTAGCAGTCCATCCAAGTCAAATATTATATGTGTAATTTGTGGACCCAAGACATTCATCCTTCCTGAAAATATAATTTTAAAATACCTACTTATACTATGGTAAAATTTAACAAATGATATAATTTATGGAATGTAAAACATCGATAAACGTAACTCAGAAAAACTTGTAATTCATCAATTTCAATCCTAAAACTAAACATGCAAAAATCAAACCTTCATTATCGATGTAATAACAGGTTTGAAAGGCAAATATGATGGAATGATTTAGAGTGAATCATCTTAAACAAATGAAAACTGTACTGTGTACTATTCTGGACAGAATTTACATGAATTTATTAAAATCTTATTAAGAAGTGAATTCGATAAAAACTTGATAACAGTACTTTGGTAAATGATTTACAGTTTTTGATGACATGACAATCACCATACATCCTACAACACTTCCTGAAATTGGAGAAATTTTCTAAGCGAAACTCACACAGCCGTTTCCCCAATTATCAACAATACTATTTTCGTTATTCTACCTCATCTCTGTTCTCTCCGTCTTTTATATATTCTTTATTTGTTGGCCTCAACATAAATTGATGTTTCGGCTCGAGATTTTCTGGCTTTGGAGATTAAAGATTGCAAGACAAGAACTCCTAGTATTGTTGTTAGTTTATGTCATCTCTATTTTAACTCAACGATCAGAGCTACAGTATCTCACTAAGAATTGGAATACTGTTGCAACTCCCTTCTTTCCTTATCAGTTAATCAAATGATAAGCGCCGGCACAACAGAATATTCATTGCGTATGTATGATTGATTATTTGCTGGATAGTGCAGGGATATCTTTGCCATTTATCACTCTCCATATTAAGTGATAAGGACGAAGAAAAGTGTCGACTATAAACTTAACAGTCCCACTTTCATCCCTCGTGGCTTGTCGAATGATGACGGCCGTAATGTGGATCATGGAGGAAATGTTCATGATGGTCATAGAAAATATTCATGATGATACTGATGCCATGGACCATCCCAATCATCGTTCTACAAGCCAGAAGCTGTCATCGGTACTATCAACAGAGCTAGCAATAATGTTGTGACAAGTCGTCGTAATACCATTTGCTTCTAAAAAAGTTTTGAAAATTTGGAGGTTTTCATAATTGCTATTTTTCTACTTTAATGAAAAGTGCAGTGAGAAGTATACATAAAAACTGGTAAAATATTAGGAGATACTATCCTATTTCAGCTTAATGAGGAAGGGTGAAATTAATGAGAATGTCGCGGTGAAAGAAACTTATCTACCCGAAATGAGGTCAAGTCACTAAGCCGAAATGAAGCCACAAGAAATGAGGTCACAAGGTACCCAAAGAACGAGAAATAGGAGAATTGCAATCTAACAAGAAGCTATAAAAAATTCTCTTCCCATTAACCTAATTCCAAGCCTGTTTCAGTAGTTGCTATA